AGCAGCTGTCTGAGTGAAGAAAAGCCTCTAGCTCCAGTGTACCAGGAGCAGGAGGCCAAGCTGAAGCTCGAGGTTGAGGGGCTTTTTCACCCAGCCCCTAGAGCCTGGCACTTTGAACTCAGACTTAAAGCCTCTAAATTGTGAGAGGATAAACTCATGTTTTTCAAGCCATCTCATTGGTGGTATACTCTTATAAGAGTGGCACTAGGTAACCAAAATAACGTGTATATATATATGTATGTGTGTATGCATGTGTGTGAGTGTGTGTATATATATGCCATAGAGTTGATTCCAACTCATAGTGACCCCCATTGGGTTTTCAAGGCAGTGAAACTTTACTGAAGTAGATTGCCTCATCTTCCTTCTACGAGTGGCTGGTGGGTTTCACCAGGGCTCCTTATTATGTATTTATATGTATGTATATATATTCAGGGAAAGTGAGAGAAAGACTGATTTATCTCAAGAAAATGGTTCACGCCATCGTAGAGGTTGGCAAGTCCTAAGTCCGTAGGCTAGGTGTCAGGCAGGAGGCTTCTCCTGATTCACATAGCTGCAGAGGCTAATGAACTCAAGATCAGCAGGCTACACAGTAGGCTTCTAGCTCCTGGGCTGTGGTGGCTGATGAATCCAAGCTAGGCAGTCAAGACAGCAGGCTCAGAGATTACAGAGGGTGACATATTACAAGATTGGCAGGTAAGATAATAACAAGATAGATGCAGGATCCAGAGCAAGTGAGTGAACTTTGCCAGAATGTCCATCTATATATATTGGGTATAGGCCACATACCTGAGGAAACTTCCCCTAATCACATCAGACCACATAATGGAAGACAGTTACATCATTAGATAATCACCAAACTACATAATTACGTAATTGTTGAACCACTGGAAATCAAGGCCCAGCCATGACACACAATCTTAACCATTACAGTCCACTCTTTGTCAATTTGGTATCTGTGAACATCTCCTTAAACCATACACAATCTCTAAATAAAGACAATTGCAAAGTCATACTTGCATCTAACCAACATGCATACAACTGAAAATGCACTACAGTGTTTACATCTCATAATTTATAAAGGAGGGAAGAAGGCAAAAATAATTGCTATATATATAATAATTACAGTCCTCATTTCTGCAACTGGTCATGTGGTCATAACTGGTATTTAGAACTACTTTCTTCCACCACCCATTCCAAATCCTCTGTACCCACAGCAAGTACCTCTGCTAGCTGACGTTCTTTGACTGGTGGGGTGACCCAAAACCTTCATTCCTGAAGGGTCTGGGCAATTAGTAGCCATGTTGTGTTGGAGACCAAGAAAAAGACCCCCCAAAAAAACATGATTGCAAGGCACATGTTCTAATTACAATTAAGAGATGCATGGCTGAATGCTTGCTTTGAGAGATGGCAAGGCCTCTCCTGCTGTTGAATGGATGAATTCAGAGCTTTGTGTTCCTGGGGCAGAACGCTGCCCCAGCAGAATGTTTGCTAACTTGTTTCCCTGGAATAATGTTTTGCCCGAAGAATCGTATACCTTAGAAATCATTCTTTAGAATCAGGTACCTTAACAATCATGTTATGTTTTAGAATGAGGTATCTTAGTGATTATTTGCTAATCCTGGAAGAGATGTTAACTTAATTATCCAATACATTTGGACTTGGGAAAATGCCTTTGGGTATGGGAAAGAGTAAAATTTTAACTTTTAGAGAATACTTGATTGTTATAAGGAAAAAAGTGATTGTATTGTAAAAGAATATTTGATTGTGTACTTGATTGAATACTTGATTGTTTTAAAGAAATATTAAAGAATAATGATGTAATCGTATACTTATATATAAGTAAAGCAGAGCGGACACATCAGGGGTTGCTCTCACAGAATATGCAGGGCGTCCACCTGACCTGTTCCTTAAAAAAAAAAAAAAATCATTAATCTTTTCGTGTCACTTCATTTCATGACCTATACGGTTTTACTGGACGTGACAATGTTGGAAGTGAGTTCCATTCAGTTTAATCACAGGGCATGGTAGTACTAAGAGATACCCTAAGGGATTGCCTGTATTCCAGACATACACTTTTTTTACCTGCATTATGCAACATCAATCCAATTTCCCCTTGGTAATCAGGGTCAATCACATCAGCTAACATGGCAACTTCCTTTTTTGCCTGTTGATCCACAGGCAAGAGGGGCCCAAAATGGCTGGATGGCATTCTTATCTTCCAGTTCAGTGGAATCTGGGTTGTGTCTCCAGGTGGGAGCATTCCCCCCTTTGGAACTAAGATGTCTAGACATGCAGAGCATAGGGGCATGGAGACAGGAAGCAAAATTTTTTTGAGTGGGTCACTTGGGTAACAGTTATCCCACTTCCATCTCCACCCCTTGGTTTATGGAACTGTGAATCTTGGCTATGGGAGAAAGAGTACCATACGTTGGACACTGGTTTAGAGCATATACAATCTCCTGGAGAACATGCGGGAGCTCTGGTGGCATAGTGCCTAAGGGATTTGACTCTAACCAGAAGGCTGCCAATTCAAGCCCACAAGCCACTTCTTGGAAGGAAGATTGGGCAATCTACTTCCCTAGTGATACCGCCTCGAAAACCCAAGGAGGGGTCGCTATTAGTCAGATCCAACTTGACAGCAGTGATGGAGAATGTGGCCTCAACCCTGCAAAGTGATGGCATCTAGCTGGCTCTGTAATTCTATCTTGAAGGCCATTGTATTATTCTGCTTGTGGATGATGTGGAAATTGTGAGACCAGTAGATTCCATGAGCATGGGTCTATTGTACTTCATTTGCTGTGAAGCCCCTTGATCCCAGCTGATGCTGTGTGGGATACTATGATGGTGATAAGGCATTCATTGAGTCCACAGATAATTGTTTTGGCAGAGGTAATGCATACAGGGAAATTGTTCTATCCATGATGGAAGTGGTCCAATGTACTCAGTCTGCCACCAGGTTGCTGGCTGATTGCCTTGAGTTATAGTGCCATATCAGGGAATAAGTGTTGGTCTCTGCTGCTGGCAGATTGGGCACTCAGCAGTGGCTGTAGCCAAGTCAGTCTTAATGAGTTGAAGTCCATGTTGCTGAGTTCATGCATAACCTCCATCTCTACCACCATGGTAACTTTGTGCATGAGCTTAGTAGGTAATGACAGGAATGGCTAGAGAAAGATGACTGGCTTCTATCAACTTGTTAAAATCCTCCTCTGCTGAGGCCACCCTTCAGTGAGCACTCACATGCTCACTGATCTTGATTTCTTTGGCCCATTATTTCTTTTAAACACCTTTATTTCTTTGGGCCATTCAGAGAGGTTTATCCACATACTGCTTCCTTGTACTTCTTTGTCACCAATTCTCCAATCATGTTCCTTCCAAGTCCCTGACCATTCAGCCAGACCACTGGCCCA